TTGTGTTTATCTATTAGTTAAAATCTTTATCAAGTTTTGAAAAACTTGACCGTCTTATTTAAACTATGTAATTTCATTCATCAATTGATAAAACCATTAATTTATTTATTTCCTAAAAAATCTAAAGCTTGAACCATTAAATTTAAAATATACATCGTTTGGACAAATTTAGTAAAAACTTTATAGCTAAAAAATGGATGAACATTTTTTTAATAAACTAGTCGTGACTCGTGCGATGCACAGGATGATAGATTTTACTGAAAGTTTTTTAATATTGAATATTAAATTTAATGGACTTTTTATATATGTAACAAAAGTAAACATGTCACAAAGAACGTAAATATTCATAAACTATCGAACACTTCCTTGTACACAATGTTTTTTACTTTGATTTGGTTGCGAGTTATCGCCACCACATACTAATATTTTCATACCACTTCGGTTGGTGACACGGGAGACACCAATGTATAACTGCCCATGGCTAAACACCAGCTTCTTAAGAAATAAACCAACATGCGATAACGATTGTCCTTGGCCCTTGTTGATAGTCATGACATACGAACCCATAATGGGAAACTGTTGCCTCTGAAACTTGAAAGGTATTCTGACATCGGAAGGAGTTATAGTCATTCTAAGAATCAACACTTTCTCGCATGCGTAATCTTTAGTTAGTATCTTACATTCAAGAACATGAGTGGAGAGTTTTGTCACAACCAATCGAGTCTCATTACATAGATCCATAGAATGATCCCGCTGATTTCCTCGCTTGCATCGGTGCTTCCACTCCCCAGAGGCGCATTTTTCCTCCGAACGGTGCTCCTCTCCGCCTCTATTCTCTTGTGCGAATGGACCAGACTGGCTAACCATCATTCAGATTTGGGTAGTCGTTTTGTATTTTTTGTGCTTCAGCCCACTCGTGGTGCACACTGCTCGCCTGGGCACTTGTCAGCCCAGACTCAGACTTTTCACTTTGGTTGTTGTTTTTTTCCTTTTTTTTTTTTTTTTTCTGTTTGTTGTTTGGACGTGTAGACTTGTGATTTTTCAACCCATTTAGGGTCTTCACTATATACATGTTGGAGGTCCGACCTTAATCCCCTACTCTTAAGCAAAAAAAGTTCTAAATCCATCAGAACAGACCGGGGAAATTCCATTACAAGACCCAACTTTTTGTAATGATATCAATTTAAGGCTTGGATTTTATTTTTCCTCAATAGAAAGTTTATATTTTAGATTATTTTTAATTAAAGGCCTACTTTTTTAGTTGACTTTTCATTATAAGGCCCAACTTTACTTTTTGACATAAATATGTGAACCAACTATTATGTTAACAAAAATATTATTATTTTTCTCTTGGAATTTATATTTGAAAAGCTAAAATGAAGGGAACATTATTCAAATATTAATTTTTTTTTTATTTTTTCACATATATATAATATAAATAAAAATAATATTTTATTTGCATATTTTTCAAATTATCAATTTTTAAAAGTAATAATTATTAAATTTTTGCATAATTAATTACGTCGCTTGCATTGGTCCCTCCACTCCCGAAACATTTTTCATCCGGACAATGCTCCACTCCGCCTCTGTTCTCTTATGCAGATAAACCAGATTGACTACCCATTTGTTTCCAATCGTGGTGCGGGCACCTGTCAGCCCAAGCTCAGACTTTTCGCTTTGGTTGTACTTTGTTTCTTTTTCTTTTTTCTTTTTTTGTTTCTATTTGCTATTTGGACGTGTAAACTTGTAATTTTTTTGACCATTTAGAATCTTGACTATATACAAATTGGGGTTCAACCTTAATCTCCTACCCTTCGGGAGTATTTTTTTCTTTAAAAAAGAGCTCTAAACCCATCATAACAGACCGACCCACTGAAGTGAGTTAACACAAATATCAAATTTTATCCACTATACAATGAAAAATGATATCTATTACTATATAATACAGTTAAGAAAAAAATGTTTGAAAAATATTTTCATTTTGCCGCTTAAATCCTTTTTTTCCCCCCTAAATTTTATTTGAAATTTTTAAATGTTTTCCTTATTTTGGGCGGGTGAATTCTTTAAGAAAAAAGTTCAAAATATTTGATTTGGATTAGATTTTGAAAACGTGTAATTAGTTAGTTATGGATAAAGAATCCAACAAATTTTAAATTCCAAAATATGGAAACGAATAACTGGGCGCCTGAAATATCGTGTGAAATTAATTACACATTGGCTTCAATAAGTTCCCAATCAATGTCAAACACCAAAATTAACCGACAAAATATTTCACATAATTCAGAGATAAAGTTTTACATGAACTCATGTTTGTCATCTGGTAAAATTACTTTATCTTTTCCGCAAATTTGGTCAAACATAAAAAGCAAACTTAGTCATGTATTATGATTTTTGTTAAATTCTTTTGTATTTGCAATAACAATTTTCCTATTTAGCACCAAGAACTTAGATAAAATGCTGCCAGATTTTTTAAACTCTAAATTTAACAATTATATATAATTGAGAAGAGGTTTTTTCATTCGCTTGAATTATCATAATTTGTAATAATAATAATAATTTGTGGATTCTTGCAATGATAAACAAATATCGTAAATAATATTATTTCAATAAGTTCCTAATCAATGTCAATCACCAATCTTACTTAAATAATTTTTAAGATAAAATAACGTGTGAAATGATCGTGTATAAAGAAATCAGCCGTATGACATATATATCAAATTGATAGCAAAACAATTCCAAATTATGTGGATTCTTGCAATCCTATTGATTTCAGTAACCAAATTGGAAATTGGATGTGTTTGAAAAGAATCTAGAATTATAGGTTAATTACAAACCATAAATGTAGCAAATAAATTATATCATTACAATATCTACATTGTTTTGAAATCAAATATTTCATTAGGTAAGTAAATTTTCAAACATTCCTAATTTTTTTTTTTTTTAAATTAGACAATAAAATAGATACTTTTTAACTAAAACCATTATGATTGCATATCATGCTTTAAAAAAATTATATCTATAGAAAAGTTAATAATAATAACTAAATAAATATTAAACTCTTAGGTTTGGATATTTCATATTTTTATTCAAAGTCCTTTACATCTCTGATATTATGTGGGGCCTTCTTAATTTTCTTTGTAAATATTTTTCAAAAATATGAAAAATCCCGCATTTGATTGATATATTTAAGTTTAAAGTTCAATTAATTAAATCAATCTCACATAATGAAATCTCTTCGTTTTGGTTGTTAATGAGATAGATTTACTTCCTAATTTAATCAATCACACGCAATTTCTCCGGTTGTACGTTCTTATGCTAGACCTTTTTTCCAGACGAGATTGATCAGTTACGGACGAGATTTTTAGCAAGGAAGTTACGTTTTTTTTCCCCAGAAATTTACGCACGTGTGAATGTGACAGGTGAGAAGTCCTCGACTGATAGCAAAGTCGGTTCCAATATGGATTGTATTGTTAGTTTTCATATCTTTCTTTGATTGTTATTATAACTAGTACAGAGCCCGTGCGATGCACGGGGTGCATAATTTTAAGGCTATATTTATTTGGAGAATATTATATTATAAGATGCAATATTCAATAAAAGTTTATAATACGCAAGAAAATTGTACAATGTTCAATAAAAGTTTCATAATATTCAAGTGGAGTCTTAAAGTCACTTATACATTAAGACTACTGACAAAATAATATTTAATCAATGAGTTTCCTTTCCTTGTAGCCAAATTGTGAATGTGATTTGAGGAGTGCAACAAATCGATATATAGCTGAATTGCTTTTTTCATTGTAATTTTTTTTCTTTTTTTTATAATGAATTTAAAGATATTCTAAAATATAGAAAAAATTAATTTTTTTTATTACAATTAGGAATTTTACTAAATATAGACTCTCAATCTATGGTGTTAATCAACGTTTAAGTCTAAAAAAATAGGAATTTTTACCTCTTTTAATCAACGTTTAAGTCTAAAAAACAATAGAGTTATTATAAGTTTTTTTCTACGTCGTTTAAAACATTAAATATGAGCATGTTAGGGCTAGCTTGTAAAATAATTAATATATTATATCACTAAAACATTTATACTAATAAAAATTTAATTTTAGCATATAAATTTATCCCTTGATATAAGAGAAAGTAACAGTTTCACTTATTGTTGTTCACCATATAATATTTAATTATTATTTTATTATATAATAAAAAAAGAATATTGTTAAATAGTGTAGTAGAATTGTTTTAAAATTATATAATTTTTTTTTTTTACAATATGAATTTAATATTTTTTTATGATTTGATAATATAAACAAATCTATACTTAACTTTGACAAATAAAACAAATAAATACTTTAGTAAGTATTTAATGTATATACTAAATAGGAATATATTTGGTATAATCAAATACCAAATATAATCAAATAAGTCAAAGTGTACATTTTTATTTGGTATTTGATTTTTTTATTATTAAAATCTTTTTATTATACGTATCTTTTTAAAATAAAACAAATAAATAAATCAATTAAATAAATAAAATATTATAATATCAAAATAGTAATGACATTTAATGCAGTTGACTTTTCTGGATAGTAAATGTAGTAAATAGAATCTTCTTTTATATAAGTATAGATATGATATTATATTATGTTGCTCAAAATAGTAATGCATTTATTGCATTGACTTTTCAACTTACTAAATTTCGTAAATGGTACACCTTATTATATAAGTATAGATGCCCACAATAGCTGGATTATTTATTTTCATGTTTATTGCTACTAATTGTTTAATATACATCATATTTATTTATGGGATTTGCAAATTATTTATCTGATATGCATAATATTTATTTATGGGATGTCATGTTTAATATGCATGATAATTAATTAGTTGCTTATTTTTCATAGGAATCAATTGTGTCAATTAATTAGTTATTTTATTTCATGGTAATTAATTATAAAAAATGCATATTAGAAAATCAATAATGAGATGTTTAAATATGAATAATTATATTTAAATAAAGTAAAAAAAAAGTTTTAATTAATAAGCCTATCCGTGCATTGCACGGGATACACTAGTATTTAAAATAATAATGTTGGAACATATATGATGAGCTTATTGCTCCTTGCAATGCAATTGCATTCCAAGTTAAATTATTGTGAGGAAGCAACAATATCACTCAACTTTGTGGCCTTGGTCTCAAGTGGGAGGAGCATCACACTTATTCCTGCCACAACTAACACAACCTCAAACAAAGCTATGGCCGCCATTTGGTGGCAACCGGAAACCAACCAAACTGCCACAAGAGGGCATATTATTCCGGCCACTCTCCCCACAGCAGTCGCAGCACCAACACCTGTCGTTCTCACACACGTAGGATACAACTGAAAAACAAAACGAAAAACTATGAACAATCAAATCGCGTGATTTTGTTTAAGACGAGTATTAATTAATTAATTAATTAATTACCTCCGGGCAGTAAATACAAGCGACTGTATAGTTCCCGGTGAAGCACATGCGAGCTCCGAACAAAAGAGACGTGGTTATGAGTTCATTTTGGCGGAACAGAAGTGGTAAAAGAAATATGAAGCCTATTAAGTACATAACCACCATGGAAAATCTTCGCCCGATTTTGTCAACAAGGAGACCCGATAAAATCAGCCCTGGAAACTCTAACAACATGGAAAATGGAAGGAAACCCACAAATCAGACTCAAAACTAAAACCCACTATAATTAATTACAACCAAAAAGCTAGCTAACTTTGAGAGTGACATATATAATCATCTAAAATCAAAATTTATCCATTATACCTGCAAAGCTGGTGATGAAAGCATCCATATAGAGGGTAGAGCCACCAGAAAGCAATAGAATCGAACCACATTCACTTTCACCACCACTCAACTCAGTGGTCAGCAGCACAGCCCCATAGTACACAAATGAGTTTGCAAAGTAGATGATCCATAGGAGAAGAGTCGTTTTTACCAAACTTGAGGATAAAAGCGTAAAAAATAACGAGATGGGAGAATTAATTATGCGTTTTCTGATGGACAACAAGGGGACTCTGTCAGATGGGCTATTTTCTTGGTGTGGGACAAGAATACCTGGAGGGAGCTGTGATTTGTTCATTTCAGCCATTTGTTTCAATATTTTATGAGCGTCACCGAATTTGTTGTTTAGGCACAGGTATCTTGGGGATTCTATCGTGAAGGAATAGAAGGCGAGTGTTAGTAGACAGGGTACGGACGAAAATATAAGCACCCATCTCCACCCAAATCTTGGAATAATTATCTGCGCAAAATGACAAGTGAAAGATTTTTTGTAACTAGAACACGCATAACTTGAAGAGAAGAAAAGCTGTGTGCTATAAAGTTAATTTAAGTATGTCACGTGCAAGCATCAAGTGTTAGATATCCTTGTTAATATAACAGCAGACACCACAATTTTGAAGGTTAAAATTACAGACTTTGTAGTTCAACGGCCAAAAATAAATAGTACAACTCTTATGTGACAGGACAAAATTCCTGAGATACGAGGGAGTAATGAAGAGAAGACAATGAACAGTGGCATTTAAGTAAGCTTCATCTTTAGAAGCTACAACATAAACTAAGAAGCTCAAGCAGAGTGAAAGATAGATGATTAAAGGAAAAGAGGAGTACCCATGCCAATAAAGCCTCCAGTATTGTTCCAATTGTCCAGAAAGTGCTAAAGACAACCATCCAAAAGCCTCGGTTTTGCACGGGCACAAACTCGAGATACCAGGATGAGTACACAGGTCCACCACCCAGACCAATGCCAGCTACCATACGGAAAACGACTAATGAGGAATAATTTAGGGAGAATGCACTTAGAAAAGCAAATATGCCAGTTACTGCACCAACACTTAGAAGACCTATCCTGAATACAAGAATAATGATAATATAAATCATTAGAGATAACTGTGACAGTCAGAAACAGTATCCCTACTACAACCGAAAATGTGATATTTAGATACTTCCTAAAACATATCATCGTGTATGATTTCAATTAACATGAAAGATCGTTTATCAGTCTAATAAAAGAACTAAATGTTTCCACCTATACATTTGTGGGTAAGTTCGGATTCTGATCCAGATTTATATGCAGAGACAAGAGAAAATATGACCAATTTCTTCGTGATCTGTTCTTCTTGAAAAATATATACCATACTTCACATCCTCAAATAATCTTTGTCCAACTGCTTCACGGAAAATATGAAGAATACCTTAAAGGGATGAGCACTTAACATAGATACCCAATTAGGACGAAAAAATATTACTTCCATATCATATCATGTCGTGCTATGAGTATTCCTTACCAAGAACATACTGTCCAAAAACAGCTGATTTCAAGAAAATGCATTTCTGAAAGTCGAATTGTTTTGTAAACTAATAATCACAGTATTGCAACCAAAAGCAACCAATGACACATATTCCATGAATTTGTGCAACCTCATACAAAATATTCAAAAGCTCATAAACAAGGAATATTGGTGTAATAAAGAAGGTTATGCAATCACCACAGAAATAACCGTTCTAATTCATAAAACGGGAACCCAATAGCTTGCCTTCTTCCGTAATTATCGGATATGAAACCCCACAAATAAGCTCCAACAAGCATGCCTCCAAAAACAACTGAGGTTATAAAGCTCTCTTGTCCGGGCGAAAGCCCCCATTCATCTTTAACAGAGGTTCCTATAAAGGAGAGTATCATGACCTCCATTGCCTCAGCCATGGACCCGAGTCCCGCATAAGCCATCACCAGAGCTTGGAATTTCCCAAATCCCACCATCTCAAGAGCTTCATCCAGTGTGTACGAAAGTCCCGTCTCATCAACATCCACCCCCTGTTAATCCCATAACAACAAACACATGGATAAACTGATAAACAGTCCACATATTTTTATCACAACTATAAACTTATTTATAAGTTTCGCTAAAATTCTGGACGACTCTTTTTCAGTTCGTTAAATTCTCGCCCTTTTATGTTATCAGAAACATGAAGAAAAACATAGGTTAATGCTCAGATAATTCCTACAACCAATGCAAAAGTAAGAACAAGGGGAAGAAGAATTGTGGTTACCTCGCTGTTCATGATGGCTGTGGGGTTGTGGCTGATCAGTTTGATTGATCTTCAAATTATTGTCTACTACATGTGAAGTGAGCGTCACTTTTAAAAGACAATCATTGCTTTTTGTTACTATCATTATTAATTTTGAGATATGGTTATGTCTACTTCAGTGAGATCTCCATTTTAATTTATAAGAACTGTAGAATTTCATAAAACCTTCATAAACCCAATTTTTACACTTCTCAATATGTTTATCATCCAAATTTCACGGTGCAAACATAAACCTCAAATTAGACATGACCACGGTTGACCCGGCCCGTAAACTCGGACCGGCCCTAAACTGGCCACCTAAGGGCCGGTTCATTTAACCAAACCATAAAGGCCGCGATTTGGTCCCGGTTTTCTCTATTTTTTCTTTTTTTTTGTCCCGGCTGTCCGGTCCGTGCCGGGCCAAGCCGCAGGCTGGAAGCTGGACAACGACGTGATTTTTTATTTATTTTTTATTTTTTTTAATTCTACGGGCCAGCGAGTCGGAGAACCGACGGGTCCGGGCCGGTCCGATGATCTGGCCCTAAGCAATTTTCGACTCGGTCCCGGGCCAGGATGTTGAGGATTGTCGGCCCGACGGCCCGAGCCTGCCGTTAACTGGCCATGTTTACCCCAAATCCCTCCCATTTAATAGTAAAAGTTGAGGAGGTGGTTTATAATTTTGGCAAAACCTCCCACTAAAGATGCTCTAAAGATACATCGAATAGCATCGATGATGTAACATATTTCAACTAAAGATAACATTTTTAATTGTTATTGTCCAACAACGGATGACTATAAGTTTGAGATTTGCAATTGATTAATTAAGATGGGTGTCGGATATGTTAACTAAAAGGGGTGGGCGAGATNAGCATAAGTACAATCGGCTAAATAGCCGAATGAACCAACCAAAACAACTGAATTCATATCAGAGGCCTACACAAAATAGCCAAAAATCACAGAACAACACAAACAAGAAAGAAACTAAAAATCCAATAAAGGAATCCTGAACTGGTGACGGGAGTAAATTTTAATTGTAGAAAACATTAAGTAATATTTAATAATACAGAAAAGATAAAGTAAATTATAATATTTTTATTTATAGAGATGTCTGCTAGTTTTTGTACAATAATATTTTTAAAACTACTACATATAATTGGTTATGATCGGAACTTTTAGTTACATATATGATGCATATTAACCTTATACATGAGAGTATGTACAATTGAAAAACATGATTTATCAAGTATTTTAAATTCATATAATTAATAATTCATAATTTACCTAGAAAAGTATAAATAATTCCGAATTTACATAGAAATGTATTATTTTCTAACTTTATGAAATAGAAAATTATTTTATTGTATTTAATTATGATATTATTTTATATTTACTATTTTAATAACATTCAATTTTTTATATAATCCTTATAACTTGAGAAATAATATTTTATAATATTTTCTAAAATTAATTATATGTAATACATAATTTTTATTTTTATCCAAAATTTATGGAACAAATACTAAAATTATTATTTTATGGTGTATTAATGAATTAGATTTATTTATTNGCGAACAAAGTTCGAATAGTACACATCAAGATCGAAAAGAAAACTGAGAGGACACGCATATAGCGGCCTAGAACCACAACTCGAACAGAAAAGAAACAAGGTACCGTCCACTGCCTAAAGGCCTAGAGGTACAAGGAAAATAAAACCTGCCACACTAACCTAACCAACCTAACTAACAGCAGCCAAAGCCAAATGGCAAAACAAGAAAACAAGGGCAACAAAAAAAAAACAAGAAAACAACAACTCAATTCTTCAACTTAGCAAAGTCAAGCCAATCCTGATGAGCAGCCCGCAAGGTGACTTGGATTGGCATGAGGATGTTTTGAAAGATACTCAGGTTGCAGGTCTTCCAGAGCCACCATAGAATGTAGGTAGTAAGCTGGATTCTGGCATCTGATGTCTCTGAGGTATACAAAGAGCAAATATCTAACCACCAACTGCTGAAGGTTGAACCTTGAGATGGCAGGAGGTTCCAGGTGACTTGGGCAGTATTCCAAAGACTTGCAGCTCTTGAGCATTGAAAAAGAACATGGTTTATAGTCTCTGGTTCATCACCACAAATGCTGCACATAACATCACAGGGCAAACCTTTTGTCCTCAGATTTGTTTTAACAGGAAGAGCTCCCTCAATGCATTTCCAGATGAAGACCTTGACTTTGCTCACAATGTGTAGTTTCCAGAGCCTTTGTCTGAGCTTGATCAGATGTGGACCTGTCCTTCTACTGCAACCAGGCAAATCCAAAGCAAGCAGTTTTTGGTGTACAAGGAATGAGTAGGTGCTAGAGACTGAAAAGTTGTTTGTCCCATTTTTGTTACGTTATTCGTGTCTATTTTCTCTTTCTTTTTTCCCATTTTGAGTCATTTAGATGGTTTTAGGATCATTTTGTCATTTATTATGTGTTTTGCGTTCATTTGAGTGTTGCGATGTTTTCCGTTTGTTTTCCGGTCCTTTTCTGTTCTCTTTTCGTTTTTGGTGTGTAGTTTGAAGACCTTGGGAGAACAGGTTTTCGAGAATCTTGTGGGGAAGCTGACACCATTAGATAGAGGGGTTCGTTAGCGACACGTAGGAAAAAACGGAACTCAATTCTGAGTTAAAACGAACCCGAACGAGCAAAAATCGTAAGATGGTGCAGTGCAGATTTTGGTCTCCGCGGCCGCGACCCTTTCTTCGCCGCGGCCGCGGCGAAGAAAAGCTGCCAGGTCCCAAATTTCAGCAATGAAAATCCCGCGGCCGCGGAGGTCGCGACAGCAGAATTTTTATGTTGCGATTTTGTTCAGTTTTTCATTCATTCCTTCACCTAGGTTTAGACTCTCTCTCGTTTTTATTCACTACAGAACAAGTATTTCTCTTAGTTTTGATAGAATTTGATCTTGGATTGTGAAAACACCAAGATTCAACTCTTAAATTTGGATTGCTCCTTGTTTCTTCAACACTGGATTCATATTAATCGTAAGTTTCTCTCTTATTTCATTGATGAGTGATATGTCTTTGCTTCATATGAATGTTGATGTTGAATTTGGTATGAGTGGCTGAATTCATATGCTAGGGAATAGGGGATTGATGTTTTGACATCATTTGCGATTATCCTGTTCGTGATTGTTCAATTTGTACGAGTTAAGCTTTTTCTAGGGTTTTCATTCATCGTTCTTGGATTTTGAGAATTATTGAAGGGTGACACTTCAATCTCCAATTGTTTCAATTGAATTCGATAAATTCATGCATGTTGTTGATAATTCTAAACGGATTAGTGGATTAACAACTCTCTAGTCTCTTTTAATCGACTCTTAGAACCGAAAGGGGAGGAGTCGATCGAAATAGGCTCGTATAAACTAGGCTTGTTCGTAATTGTATTGCCTAGGTGTTAAATGACTTGTTAACTTGTCGTTTAAGTTTGTTCTCTTGTTACGAAGAGTTATTGAGAATGAGTGCTTGAACATGCCGGTTATTCAAATCACTTAACCGAACAATCTCTTGCTTGATAATTGCATTTTCGAACCAAAACGGATATCCCCGACTCCCTAGCTCTTTAAATCCTATTTGTTCTTCCTCTTCGCTTGTTATTTTTATTGCTCATTTAAATCTTGCAGTAGTTGATAATTCAAAAACCAACCAAACTTTGATTTAGAATGTTTAGGAATTTCATTTCCTTTATTTTCCCTTTTTGTGGTTGAATAGACGTGCAATTTATTCCGGCTGACCTTCCTCGTGAGACACGACCCGGTGTTCGAATCTTTAGATTCTACTCTGGAAAATTACTACAACAAATTGGCGCCGTTGCCGGGGAAGGTTTAGGACATATTTTGTGCGCTTATTCATCTTATTTTTCGTGTTTCTTTTTGGTTTTGTGTTTTTCTTGTTTTCGGTGTTTCTTTTCTTATTTTATTTTATTTTCTTTACTATTGGTGCTCGTAACCTGTTTGTTGTTTGCGTGTATGCGTACCAGGAGTGGACTTATATTATCCCCAATCAACAAGTCGGTTAACGAGAGCTTGAGAGAGCTGATAGAAGAGCTGACCCTCGAATCACACACAGAAAAGGAGCTTTCCCCCAAGTCATCCGAGGAGAGTAACTCAGACATGGCTGATCAACAACCGCCTCGTAACATCCTCCGAGATCTGTCCCAACCCATGATCGGGCCGATCACTTCCTGTATCCGGCTGGAGCAAAACGCCCGAAACTATGAGCTGAAGATGGTCCACTACAATCAGCTCCCATCCTTTCACGGGCTCTCCAACGAAGACCCGCTTCACTTTTTTCGGGAGTTCTACAACGTCCTCCAGACGTTCCCACTACACGGGCTAACCGAAGACCAGCTCAAAATGCGGTGTTTTCCAGAAACCTTGAAGGACCGGGCCAAGGCTTGGTTCATGACTCTTGCCCCAGATTCTCTAACAACTTGGGCCGAAGTCTACTCCAAATTTGTCGGGAAGTATTATTCCCATCAGAAGACCCAAGACATCCGGTCTCAGATAGTCTCCTTTGCTCAACTGCCAAACGAGCCTCTTCACGAGGCTTGGGAACGTTTCAAGGATCTCCAAAGGCAGTGCCCCCACCACAACCTCGCTCCAGGACTATTAGCGAATTGCTTCTACGACTCCCTCCACCAAAACTTGCAGTATAGGGTGGACAACGCAGTTGGAGGGGATATTGGGGGCAAAACAGCTGAAGAAATGATTGCAATCTACGAGACGATGAGTGCCAACTCGTCTCAGAAGAGTATCAGAGGGAAACGGTCCACAGTGAATGAGGTTGGCTCGAGTAATAATGCTATGGCCCAGCAGTTAGCCGAGCTCACGGAGCAGATGCGGCTACTAAATGCTCGAAGTTCCTCGCCGATACAGGCTATGGCCGTGAGTGCTTGTGGAGCATGTGGAGTACAGGGGCACAGCTCTGAGGTGTGCCCATCAGCTGTCGAGCCAGGCTATGGAGGCCAAACTACCGAGGTGAATGCAATGCAGGGGTACCAAAACCATCCCGGAAATGACCCCTACTCGAACACATACAACCCTGGGTGGCGAAACCACCCTCATTTTTCATGGTCCAACAATCACTATCAGCAACCACCTCAAACCAACTTTGTCCCTCAGCAGCAGCAACCTAGGGGGATGTTAAGGCTGCCAGCACCAGAAACCGGACCAACCCAGTCGAGCACAGACGACAAGCTGGA